ATAAGATGGTGAATCAAGATGAAACCTTGGACGATTGCGAGCGGTTTTTAATTCTTAAAGATAATTTATCCGCACGAGCACTTCACGCCATTGATGAATTCGAGATTACCAGTTTAAATTATAAGAAGGCGCTTGACCGGCTGAGGAGTAACTTCGATAAAAAAAAATTAATGTTCGAGGAACATATTGCGGCGTTATTTTCTGGGAAAAAGGTGTCGAGCTCGGGCGATTTGCGGGAATTGATTGACTCAGTGAACACTCATTTAAACGCGATGTTGTCGTTTGGTAATTATAAAGACATAACTAATGCTATGATCATCTATCTTGTAGCAACGAAATTAGACGAGGAATCCTTGGCAAAGTGGGAGGAATCTATCGACTATACAAGGCTATCCACTTGGGATGAATGCTCTGCAGTGTTGATTAAGAGATGTGAAAATATGGAGGCTCGAGAGACAAGAACTGCGCGCTGTGGCGAGAACGAGGACGATGGAGGCAAAGTTAGTCGCAAAGATAATCGCAAGGCGGTTGGTTGTAAAAAAAACGTTTTGGCTATAGAGAAAGGTGGATGCGAAGTTTGTCGAAAGGACGGGCACAACGTAGGAAGCTGCCGTAAATTTGAGGCTCAGAAGGTTCCGCAGAGGCGCAAAACGGCACGACATTTGAGGCTGTGCTTCGTGTGTTTGCAAAGTGGGCATAAGGCCAGTAGCTGTCAAGCGAAACGGTGTATAGAGTGCGGTGGTGACCACCATAAAATGCTGCATAAAAACAACGTAGAGGTGAAGACGATCGACGCACCAGGCACGACGCAAGCTGCTACGGTAAGTCAAGTTGCTGTGCATGCTACGATGCAAAATGAAGGCGCGGATGTTATTTTGGCAACGGCGGTAATTGGTATCAAGGGGAGAAATGGACCGGAAATCCAAGCTCGTGCGCTTTTGGATGCAGCGTCCCAACTAAATTTGATGTGCGCATCGCTTATGCAGAGCCTAAAGCTTAAATGGACTTTATGCATCATGACTGCGCACAGCATTGCAGACAGTGGCACAAATATTACAAGAAAAGTGCAGGCAAGCGTCAAATCAAGGATTGGTGGTTACGAGACATCACTTGAGTTTTATGTGTTGCCAAAAATAACGTCGTTTAAGCCAGACCAATTTATGAATGCAGATGATTGGGGCATCCCTAGTAACATATCATTGGCAGATCCGAATTCCAACAAGCCTGGCCGTATACACGTACTGTTAGGCGCAGAAATCTTTTGGGACTTATTATCGGTTGGCCGAATTACGCTGAAAGCGAATCTCCCGCGGTTGCAGAAAACTGTGCTGGGTTGGGTCGTGTCAGGTGTGACAAATTGAGCCGACTCCAACGAGAGGCTTAGGAGCAGCTTAATGATGACATCATCCAAGCAACCAGGTGTTGAAGAGGAACTGACGGCCCTTGTAGAGAAATTTTGGCTGATGGAACAGGTTGATGCAAAAACACTGTTTCCAACAGCGGACGAGGCACTGTGTGAAGAGATTTTTATCAAAGAATCTAGACGTGATCACACTGGGCGCTTCGTGGTAAGGATTCCATTTAAAGAAAATGTCGCTGAGCTAGGCGACTCAAATCAAGCGGCTTTACGGCGATTCTTGCTCCTTGAAAAGAGACTAAGGAATAATCCAGTAATCGAAAAAATGTATAATGCATTCATAGAGGAATATTTGGCGTTGGGGCATATGGCACTGGTACCAAGGGATTCCAGGGAAAAGGTAAAGTACCTTGCACCGCATACGTTTGTGTTACGGCCAGAATCTACAAGTACTAAACTGCGGGTAGTGTTTGACTGCAGTTGTAAGACCTCATCGGGGCTCTCTTTGAATGATGTAATGTGCAAAGGACCCATTGTACAAGATGACTTGCTGGCGATCGTGTTGCGCTTTCGATGCTATAAGTATGCGATAACAGCGGATGTGACGAAAATGTATCGGCAAGCCTGGGTGAGTGAAGAGGATTCATTTTATCAATGTATATTGTGGCGGCCAACCCCAAATGAAGATATTGAAGTATATCGCTTATTGACGATCACGTACGGAACGGCGTCCGCGCCATATCTGGCGACAAGATGTGTGAAGGCACTTGGTGAACAGTGCGCAGAGAAGTTTCCATATGGTGCAAACAAGGTTTTATCAGATTTTTATATGGACGATGTGATATCAGGTGCAGACTCCGATGAGCAGCTACAACAAATTTACTCGGAGGTCAGCGAGATTTTAAGTTCTGCAGGGTTTGAGCTACGTAAATGGTATTCGAATAATAGTGAATTTTTGAAGAAAGTGCCATCGGACGATCAAGAGAAGCCACTGCGTATGAACGATGCCGAAATCATCAAAACTCTCGGTATTATATGGGAGCCCACTTCCGATGTGTTTCGTTATGATTGGCCGGAGCTGAAAATGGATAAACCGGTGACAAAACGGATTGTGCTGGCGGAGATTGCGAGTCTGTTTGATCCTCTCGGTCTAATAAACCCCATAATCGTAAAGGCTAAGATCTTTTTGCAAAATCTCTGGATTATAAAGGTGCATTGGGATGAATCCCTACCATTGGAGGATAACGCTCAGTGGATCAGATTTCGCGAGAAACTGCCTTTGGTCAAAGATATACGAGTACCACGATATATTTTGGCGAAAAATGGTCCCGAGTCGAATTACACGGATTTTGTGATGCGTCGCTGCGGGCTTATGGGGCATGCGTGTACATTCGCACCGTCAATGAGCTGGACGAGGTTACGGTGGCGCTGTGGAGCGCAAAGTCCAGAGTGGCACCATTAAGAACTAAGTCGCTACCACGATTGGAATTACTTGGAGCTGAATTATTGGCCAAGTTGTTAACCAAAACCCAAGAAAACTTGGTCGTTTCATTGGATGCAATTTATTTGTGGACAGATAGCGAAATCGTACTAAATTGGTTAAGTAAGCATCCATCGGAGTGGTCAATTTTCGTTGCGAACAGAGTGGCAACAATTCAAGAGTGGACGAAACATGCACTATGGAGGCATGTTCCAACCAAGAGTAACCCAGCGGATGTTATATCTCGCGGCGCATATGCAGATGAGCTAATCGAGACTTGTTGGTTTACTGGCCCAGCGTTTTTGAGGCAAACGTGTGACAAATGGCCACCGAACAGATTTCGGAGCGACGCATCTGAAATAAACATAGAACAAAGGAGAGCAGTGGCACTACCCATCGAGCATCGAAAAAATCAGGTGCTGCTGTGGTTGGAGTCGCATAGTAATTTTGGGCAGATACAGCGAAAAGTGGCATATCTGTTGTACTTCTTTCGGCGCAAAACCAATCGCGAGACCTTGGTTACCAGCGATGATGAACCGATGCTGACAGCGGAGCTGTTGAGAGAAGCGTGGGTGCGCATCATGTACTGCATACAGCAGGAATACTTTGAAGTGGAGATCAAACAATTAGCGCGAGGCAAAGAATTACCTCCCGCCAGCAAATTAAAAAACCTTAGTGTGTTCCTGGCTTCAAGCTTTGGAGTTTCCATGATGCGCGTCGGAGGCCGGCTCGCCAGATCGCAACTACCATATGAGGCGAAGTTTCCAATTGTGTTGCCCCCTGAGAGTCTAATTGTGCGGACTTATATACGACATCTGCACGAAACCAACATGCATGTGGGTACGCAAGCGTTGATGTCGATATTGAGGCAACAGTGCTGGGTCCTGAATGCGAGAAGGCTGGTAAGACAGCCACCCAATGTTTGCTTTGCTTTCATTCCAGGCCCAAACTTTGTGAATAAATTATGGGGCATTTGCCAGCAAGACGCGTAGCAGTAACAAGGCCGTTTTACTCCACTGGTGTTGACTTTTGTGGACCTATTCTCACCACCGTCCGACTTCGAGGAGCACGCACTGTGAAAAGCTATTTGGCGATCATGGTTTGCTTTTCAACCAAGGCGGTACATATTGAGGTGGTATCCGACCTCAGTACAAAGGCGTTTATGGCAGCGCTCAAGCGGTTTGTGGCGCGAAGAGGCTTATGTCACCACCTTTATTGTGACAACGGCACTAACTTTGTGGGTGCTCGGAGAGAAATGCAAGAGTGGAAACAGATGTTCTTCTCCCAACAACAGCAGCACAAGATAAGCGAGTTCTGCGCAGTAAAGGGCATTGCACGGCACCATATACCGCCGCGCTCCTCACATTTTGGCGGCTGTGGGAGGCAGCGGTGAAATCGGCTAAATACCACCTTACGCGTACGTTGGGTAATGCACACTTGACGTTCGAAGAGTTGTGTACAATAACAACAGAAATCGAGGCGATTTTGAATTCGCGGCCGTTGTGCACCTGTTCGGCCGATCCTAATGACGAAGAAGTGCTAACACCAGCGCATTTTCTGGTTGGTAGCACACCGGATGTATTAGCAGAACCACTACTAGAACCAGCAAAGGTCAGTCTTAGAGATCAATGGCAACGTCTGACAGTCATGAAGCAGCATTTCTGGGCTCGATGGAGCAAAGAATACCTGCAGGATATGCAACGCAAGGCGAAGTGGATTAAACCGCAACGTAATTTGGCAGTAGGTGACTTGGTGTTAGTAGCTGAAGACAACGCTCCGCCAAAGCATTGGATGATGGGCCGTGTTGAGCGGGTCGTACCAGATGAAGCTGGCGCCGTGCGTGTTGCTGAAGTGCGTACGAAAAATGGTTGCATCAAGAGGGCAATACAGAAACTTGCCCGCATCCCAACCGAAGATGAAATTAATGGTTGATGACCTGCCGGTACATCAAGGAGGCCGGCATATTGTGTTTTTTACGTATGAAGCTTACATGCTTACTGTAGGGTTAATAGAAATGTCAAATGGAAATAGGAGAAGAACGGAGAAATTGTATGTACCAATAAGTTGAACGTGACGGACGCGAATTTCTATACAATTTTGAAGTTAATATATTTTATACTGCTGGAAAGCAAAATTCCTGACTTTTAATTGGGTTCGGGCGTTGCAAAAAAGCTTGCTACGAAACAAACTATTTTTTCCACTTTTTTAAAAACTACTTAGGCCGAGACAAGAAAACTTTAGTAGGCCATTAAATAAAAATACGAGCTAACTTTTGCAAATCCACTGAGTGTATTATTACTGGATTGGTATACTTTCAGAAAATGTTAACAAAGTCCGGACTGTTTTCGGCTGTCCCACAGTGTAATTTGAGTTTAACTTTTTTAGACAGGTGGCCACTCTTTTCAGGCACCTCAAAAATATTTTAATTGTTGCATAGTATTTTAAGCACAACATTTCTTTAACTAAATTCGACTTTTCAAACAGGTGCCACCCTTCCTAAATGTAATTCAAAAATAAAGTTTATTCAAAACCATTTCGATTGATACCCATATTGGGGTAATTTATTTAACTTATGAAATAATTTGATTTTGATAATAATTTTGATTTTCTTATATATGGCACAAAACCAAAACCATATTACACATCTACAGGGCAAGCCCTTTCATTTGAAACCTACCTCCTTTTTGAAAATCGAAGGAAAGATTTTATGACTTGGTGTTAAATATTTAACGCAAACATCTCCGAACTCGATTAAGAAGTTTCAATTAAAAATTTTTTTGGAAAATTCGAATTAAATCGAATTTGCACCACCAAATTTCGTATCGAATGGTTGGGCAATGTTCGAAATTCGGAAAAATCGAATTTCAACCCCCACTACCCATCCCTAATTCTGACATACTTATAGGTCCGAAAAGTCTCATTTATAAATATACTAATAAAGGACCCAAAATGATCCCGGAACGCCCTACATCAAAAGATTAGCGTGCGAGGCACAATTTTCATTCACGATTTAAATACTTTGGATTGAAAGCTATTTATTTTTTTATTATCAATTTAAGTTATTATATTTTTTTAATTCCTTTTATTTAATTAATTTATTTTTTCTCTATACTTTCGTCTTCTAACTACTTTTTCTTCGTTAGTATTAATTTTTTAAATACATTTGTTTTTTGTTTAAATTATCGCTTTCCCATTGACTTTCATTAACCCCGCCTAAATCAATGCAGCCACAATACTACTTCCGATGCAAATCTTTGCACCCAAATGCACCCTTACATACTAAAATAAGTACCTTCTTCTAGTATATACTTACGTATGTGCATACATAGGTATGTATATATGCAAGTATACGCAATATTGTATAGGTGCTTAATATACAAGTTAACACAGGTAACCACTCATCCGGCCAAATAACCGCTTCGACCGAATTTGCTGACGGCGCGTCTATAGCTTTGCACGTAACAACAAGCAAAAGTTCAATACTGCTTTAATAACTCATACGGCCATTCTGCCGACGAGACACTTATAGTTTTGCGCGTGGCAACAACGAAACAAATGCAAGACAATAAGCGGAATTGGCCCAGCAATTGCAAGTGCAGAAGTCTCGCGGCTAATAACGTGCAGTAACTGAAATTAGGGCAAGAGTGTAGGTATTTAGAGACTAGCGTCGCTTTTATATAGTCAGTTATTTCAACTCATCCGCTGAGACCGGCTGCCCTTGGTAATCCAAGGGAAATAAAGAATCTTAATCAAAACTAAGTGGTTAAATCTTACTGGCGCCCAACGTGGGGCCAAGCGAATAAAATCCTTATAAAGGACACGCGTGTTTGGCCGTGGGTTCGGACCCACCTCCTAAAAAAGAAATAGACTCACTCAGAACTACAAGTGCTAAGTTTAAAAAAAAAAATTAAAAATAACAATTAAGTTTAAAAAAATTTCATCATTGAAGTGTAACAACCATCAACAGAGCGATCATCAAGGATCACACAAGATATTACAACGATCAGGGAGACACTAATGATATAATAACAACCATCAATACAGCGATCAAGGATCACACAAGATATTACAAC